CCGGCATAGACACGGAGGCTCCGCGGACATCTGGCACGTGGAAACCGAGCCCCGACTTCGACCGAAAGTGGTCGAGAAATGGCTGCCCTCCTGGAGGGACAGCCAGCGGCGATCATGCCCGGGTCATCTCTGTAAGACCACCAAGGCTTTCCCATTGAAAGAGTGCCCTCCCGTAAATAGAGGTCAGGGGCGCAGTGCTCCCAGGGACTTTCTGTTCTGAGATTCCAGGTCATTGGCGAGTCCCTCCTGTGCTACCAAATAGTTGTCGCAGTCTTGGTGGACCGCATCTGGGGGCCTCGAGAGAATAAACTCAGCCTTACGTGACAGCTGTAGTGGCCTCTAGTTTGACGTGAAGCCTTTCTGCCGAATTGAGATTAAACCATCTCATTTCCTACTGCTTGAAACCTAAATCCATAGAGATTTGTTGCCCAGGGATATCTTCAAATAAAAGTTGTATTGTCAAAATGCTGTCCAGGTGGCCGGGTGCGTGGCTCACAGCACTTTGGGAGGCAGAAGCGGGAGGATTGCTTGAGTCCAGGAATTCGAGACCAGCCTGGGCAACATAGCAAGACCTTGTTGCTACAAAAAATAAGTCAGCTGGGTGGGCATGGTAGCGTACGCCTGTAGTCCCAGTAACTCCGGAGGTTGAGGAGGGAGGATTGCTTGAACCTAGAAGTTGAAGGCTGCCGTGCACCATGGTCGTGTCTGTGATTAGCCACTGCACCCCAGCCTTGGCAACGTAGTCAGATCCTGACTCAAAAAAGTGAAAAAGAGGGTGGGCTCGGGGGCTCAGCCTCTAATCCCGTGCTTTGGGAGGCCGAGGTGAGTGAAGTGCCTGAGCCCGCGGGTTGGAGACCCGCCTGGGCAACTTGGCGAGACCTCATCTCTACAATAAGTCAAAAATTAGCCAGGTGTGGTATTGCGCACCTGTAGTTCCAGCTACTTGGAAGGCTGAGGCAGAAGGATGGCCGAAGTCAGTAGGTCGAGGCTGCGGTGACTGGGAGTGTGCCACTGCGCTCCAGTCTGGGAGACAGAGTGAGGTGAGAGTCCAACTCAAAATAAATAAATAAGTAAAATAAAAAAGAACTGGGCTCAGTGCTCAGCCTGTTATCCTAGCACTTTGGGAGGCCAAGGCTAGTGGATTTGCCTGAGCCCGCAGGTTAGAGACCAGCCCGGGCAACTTGGCAAGACCTCGCCTCTACAATATGTCAAAAATTAGATGGGTGTGGTAGTGTGCACCTGTAGTTCAGGCTACTTGAAAGGCTGAGGCAGAAGGATTGTCGGAACCCAGCAGGTTGATGCTGGGGTGTCCATGAGTGTGCCAATGCTCTCCAGCCTGGGTGACAGTGAGACTCCAACTCAAAAAAAAAATAAAAAGAGAAAGGAAATTATGCCTAGGTAGGCTCTGAACTTTGTGTTCACCTTGTAGTGAATTGCAGATGGTCAATCATTCATTACTAAGCCTTTATCCTAAATAGCAAGAACCATAAGATGTATTCATGCAGGCATGGTAATGCCCACCTATGGTCCCATCTACTGTATTCAGGAGGCTGAGGCAGGAGTATCGCTTGAGTCAGGTTGGAGGCCACAGTGCCTGTGAATAGCCACCACACTCCAACCTGGGCAACACAGACCTCATCTCAAAAAAAAAAATTTGGCCGGGCTCGGTGGCTCAGCCTGTAATCCCGTGCCTTTGGGAGGCTGAGGTGAGTGGATTGCCTGAGCCCGCGGGTTCGAGACCCACCTGGGCAGCTAGACCTCCTCTCTACAATAAATTAAAAAATCAGCCGGGCGTGGTAGCGCATGTCTGTAATTCCGGCTACTTGGAAGGCTGAGGCGGAAGGATCGCCGGAGTCCAGCAGGTCGAGGCTGCAGTGGCTGGGAGCGGCCACTGCACTCCAGTCTGAGCGACAGAGTGAGACTCCAACTCAAAACAAAACAAAACAAAAAATTTGTTAGAAACTCAAGCCATCCTCCTCCTGTTATTATTTTTTTTCCCAGCTACCTGAAAGACTGAGGCGGAAAGATTCCTTCCATTATTAGTAGGTTTTCTTCCGCTGTCAGAGTGACAATTCTAAGACTTTACATAGCTTTAACTTTCTTTTTTTTTTTTTTTTGAGTTGGAGTCTCACTGTCGCCCAGACTGGAGTGCAGTGGCTGCTCCTGGCCACCGCAGCCTCAACTTGCTGGACTCCGGCGATCCTTTCACCTCAGCCTTCCACGTAGCTGAAACTACAGGCACACGCTACCACGCCTGGCTAATTTTTTGATTTATTATAGAGATGAGGTCTTGCTTGCCCAGGCGGGTCTCGAACCCACGGACTCAGCCAGTCCACTCACCTCAGCCTCCCAAAGGCGCGGGATTACAGGCTGAGCCACCGAGCCCGGCTGATAGCTTTAACTTTCTCCCTCTCTTCCCCAGATGTTCTCAGAGTTCTACAGCCAGATTGCAAAAATAGGATCACCACTGACTAGGGTTCTTCATCCGAAACTCCAGCCACTTAATCCTAACTGAAGCTTCACTATACTTGATTGACACCAGAGGCTGGCTTTGGCCTGCAGCACATTCACTTCACGCTGACAAGGTGCAAGTTAGGAAATGCTGACCCGGTGGTGGGAGTTAAGTTAGATGGTCAGAGGAGCTGAAAGTGGTGGTCTTTGTGGCTCTTTGTTAATAACCTAATGGAGGGGGGAAGATCCTAGACTCTTGTGACTCCTCTATTACGAGTTATCTAGTTAAACCTTTGGGTGCTGCTAACTGGCCGACACTACCGGGTGTGGAAATGTACTGCACATTTACAAAATGGAAGCTTACTGTCCTTAAGGTTGGCCCAAAGCTTTTCCATTCCTTGATAAGAAAAAGCCAGTTTAGCCGGGCTCGGTGGCTCAGCCTGTAATCCCGCGCCTTTGGGAGGCTGAGGTGAGTGGATTGCCTGAGCCCGCAGGTTCAAGACCCGCCTGGGCAGCGAGACCTCATCTCTACAATAAATCAAAAGATGAGCCGGGCGTGGTAGCGCACGCCTGTAATTCCGGCTACTTGGAAGGCTGAGGTGGAAGGATCGCCGGAGCACAGCAGGTCGAGGCTGCGGTGGCCGGGAGCGGCCACTGCACTCCAGTCTGGGCGACGGAGTGAGACTCCAACTCAAAAAAAAAAAAAAAGAAAAAGCCAGTTTACTGCTCACTTTCCTGGTTGTCTACTGAGCACAACATCGAACTAGGGGTCAGAGCCCCAGGCTGTGTGTGTGCGCTGCCACTGGCTTGGTTGACCTGACTGGCTTGGCTACAGGCCAGACACTGATGACGAGGCCAGACTGATCCTTTTGCTGAGTCTGTTATTCACCTGGTGTTCAACCAGACATTCAGTGTCGTCTTCGGCAGTCTCCTTCCAGGTGACACCTTTGTGGTCTATGGCAAGTTCTTCAGACCCTAAGTACAGTCCTTTTCCTAGTTTGAAAAGGTGTTAAGGCTGCCCCCTCATAAGTACCTTGAGGGTGCAGGGTGAGGAGCCTTCAGTTGCTGTGTGAACACCTCCCTAAGAGGTGAATTTCATGCCTTGTGAGGGAATTTCATGCCTTCCACTTCAGAGGTTACGGAGGCAGTTGGGAGGCCCACCCTGCCGAAGATGGACAAGGGAGGATGGCCTTGGCCGTCCGTACCAGCACAAACGAGGGGCTGTCCACATAGGCTGAACGAGGGTCAGACTCTGTGTCAAGCAGTTGTTGGCGCGTTACATCCCGGACATTTTACATTTGCTTGATGGCCAGCTTCTGGGTTCAGTGTCTATGTGTGAGTAGGGCTGGCCGACGGAGGAGTGCTTCCTTTTTCTACTGCATGTGTGAATGGAGAGAGCAGGAGTGGGTCTTCACGACAGTCTCCTCTTAGGACGAGCATGCTTCCTCCTGAATCAGTGGGTTTCTACAGTTTGTCAGTTTCTAGTGCTCCTATGTTCAGCCCCACCATCCTGTCTTTCTCTTTTTTCTTTTTCATTTGTCCAAGAGTTTTATTATTTTATTAAGTGCACTTGTAGAAATTACTAGAAAGGAAGACAGAACTAACCTGTGAGGTATTCCTCCATCCCCAAATGTGCTCTTGTGTACTGGGGTTACATAGGTACACAGAAACACACATTGAAAGCGGGCTTATGAACTCCAATGCATTTTCTCTTCTGACCCTCCAGAGGCTGGGACAGGTTCTGTTGAGTGGCCCACAGGAGAGGTGTTGCTGTCATTCTCTCAGTCTTGTGTACAGAGCACTCGAAAGCACCCACGGTCTCCTTCAGGAATGCACTGGCCCACTGCAGAGCCAGGACTGTTCAACACTTCACACATTCAGGGGCCATGTCAGACAGAAAAGAGCTTCAGATGAGGGTTTGCAGTTCCCTTCTGAATTTTTGCTCTTCTTGAAAAAAAAATGTTTAAGTCAAATGTAACTGCTCTTGGTGCTGTATTCAAATGATATCGATGGTTTCCTGTAGCAGCTCAGCCATTTGAATGTTGTCAGTGTGTGAAGGTTTATTAGTAAACTACTGGGATTAACTACCACTGTGACCCTTGTGGTAAAACTTTGAACCTCTTCTATGTATAACCCAAGAAAAATGTATTCAGGAGGATTCATGAGAGCTAAATTATTGATCTGGATAAAACTGGCATTTGTTTTTCCAACAAGAAACAGGAAGGTGGTGAGCTTTCCAGTACTCAAAGAATAGCAGAAATTGGCCAAAGAGCACATCTGTGCCTCCTGGGCCATATAGTTTGCTTCATTTGCAAAGTATGATGATTATTCTTTGGTCAGCCATTATTCCCCCAGTGCTCAGGGCCTGAATTTGACTTTTTCTTTCTTGTTTTTTGTTTTTTGTTTTTTGCGTTGGAGTCTCACTCTGTCACTCAGCCAGGAGTGCAGTGGCACGCTCCCAGCCACTGCAGTCACGATCTGCTGGACTCAGGCGATCCTTCTGCCTAAGCCTTCCATGTAGCCGGAACTACAGACACGTGCTACAACACCTGGCTAATTGTTTGATTTATTGTAGAGATGAGGTCTCATCATGTTGCCCAGGCTGGTCTCAAACCCGCGGGCTCAGGCAATCCACTCACCTTGGCCCCCCAAAGTGCTGGGATTATAGGCCTGAGCCACTGCTCCGGGCCCCTTTTTTTTTTTTTTGAGTTGGAGTCTGTCCCCAGGCTGGAGTACAGTGGCATGCTCATGGCCACTGCAACCTCAACCTGCTGGGCTCAAGCAATCCTTCCACCTCATCCTTCTATGTAACTGGAACCACAGACACAGGCAACCACGCCCAACTAATTTTTTTTTTTTTTTTAATTTTAGAGATGGGTTTTCACCATATTGCTCAGGCTGGTCTCGAACCCCTGAACTCAATCAACCTCTCACCTCCGCTTCCCAAAGTACAGGTGTGAGCTACCTTGTCCAGCAACTTTTTCTTTCTTTTAAAATTTGCTTTTTATTTCTAGCATTAACTGTTTACACTTTGCATGAAAAAGAATAATGAAGTCGAATTTTCATTTCAATGATCTTGTATAAATGTGAAAAATAGTTAATCCCCCCCAAAAAACAGACTTAAAAAACCCACAAGCTCTTGTACTTAAGTACCTTGGTACAAGTACTGCCTAACCATAGCCAACTCGCCCATCCCACTGTTTGAATATTTGTGGCCAGCGGTTACGGGTGATTGGCTAAGTGCAGCCAGACCTTGATTTTCTGAAGGTAGACTGCTCTGTTGTGGATTCTGTTTAATTCTATGGATATCTCTTTGGTTTCTCTAACTTTTGAAGTCATTAGGGCAAAATATGTTTATTTACAGTTCCCCAAGCAAAGGATTCTTATTTCCTTCTGGATGAAGGGAAGATTAAAATACTGATCAAATGGGCAATGGCTCTGATCTTCAGCAGAACCAGTGATGTGATCATGCCTGCAGTGCCTTACTTGTGTATAGCACATTCTCATGTTACCTCATTTAATTCTTACAGCAGTTATCTGAAGTAGGCATAGCAAGTATTAACTCTGGTTTGTTCATGAAAAGAATGAGGCGCAGCGAGTTTTAGCAGTGTGTCCAGGATTGCACTGAAGTTCATACCCAAGATATGACTAGGACCCTGGCTTTCCAACTCAGTTTGGTCTCATCTCCATTGTTTCCTCTCTTTAGAGATAGCAAATCTGTGTTTCAGATCCAAGCCAACCTGGAACTCCTTGGCTCTCTTTCTCCTAAAACTGAAATAAAAAAGACTCTGTCTTCAGAGCACTCTTTAGCCTAGCCCAAGAAAAGCTGCCTAGCTAGCTGTGTCAGTTTGGGAAGCAGTTTTCCCTAGGTAGATAGCCAGACCCCTGTAGGAAAAAGGCAGCAAACTGAAATTACTGGATCACAAGCCTGGGCAGCTCAGTTGAAATGCTTGGGAGAGGACGGTGGTGAGAGGTTAGGGTGGGCTTGAGCATCATTTGTCATCACAACCCCTTTATAGGTAACTCAGCCCCACTGGTCCCAGCTACTTGGGAGGCTGAGGCAAGAGGATCACTTGAGCCCAGGAGCTGGAGGCTGCAGTGGGTTATGATCATGCCTCTTGACTCCAGTCTGGGCAACAGGGTGAGACCCCCATCTGTAAATAAATAATTTTGAGTAATAAAAATATAGTTAACTCCTCTCTGCCAGGAGAGCAGTATGCTAGGTAAATGTTTCAATAGGAAGTGTAGAAATGCTGTAGTTAGCTGGGCGTCGTGGCAGGCGCCTGTAGTTCCAGCTACTTGGAAGACTGAGGCAGGATTGCCTGAGTCCAGCAGGTAGAGGCTGTGGTGCCTGTGAGCATGCCACTGCACTCCAGCCTGGGTGACAGAGTGAGACTCCCACTCAAAAAACACAAGAAACCCTGTAAGAAAACCTTGAAAGGATACCAAAATTTCAGATAAACCGAATCATTGTAAGAACATAAATGCAAAAAATACAGTAACGTGCTAGTGTCTTTGAAGGCAGAATTCAGACATAAATTTGCACGATTCAAGGTAAATTGAAAGCCGGGCTTGGTAGCTCAGTCGGTAATCCCAGCACTTTGGGAGGCTGAGGTGAGTGGATTGCCTGAGCTGTGGATTCGAGACTCGCCTGGGCAACTTGGTGAGACCTCATCTCTACAGTAAATCAAAATGAGCTGGGCATGGTAGCGCGCGCCTGTAATTCTGGCTACTCGGAAAGCTGAGGCGGAAGGATCGCCGGAGCCCAGCAG